CATTTCTCTGTTATGTGTAATGTTGTTAGGTGTAGACATAAGGGGTTGGTTTATATAAGGAATAGGGTGCCCCCAAGTGATTTTATCAATGGCTAGGCACCCCAAAATCCGAATTGGGGTACCTCACCACGCATCCTAACATTTGGGACGTGGCTCCAACTTGGACCCACGTTTCTCAACCATGAAAAGCGCGGCTCCGACTTGTGGAACCACGAACCCAACTTGTGGAATCGCGGTTCCGCTAGTGTGGGCGCTTCCAGGCCCACTTTGAGGGTTCCTCACGTCCACACCTTGACTGTGGGTGACTTGAGCACCCATTTGGGCACCCCAAGTCTCTTGGGTGCCATTCTCCTCACCAGGACCAGCCCAAGTCGCCCAGCACGTCTCCATCTCTCTCTTCTTCACAATCTAGGCCTACTTAGCCCAATGTCTTTGTTATCTCTATTCACTACTTTCTCTTACACTTCTAGGGCTCCTCTTGGAACCTATCGTTACCATCTCCACCTTGTGCATCTTACAGCTATGCACATTGAGTCTACTCTTCTACATGGTGTTAGAGCTATAGCTGAGCCTCCATTGGTCAGCCCATCTGCATCTGAGTAGAAGTTTCAACCATAGATGGTTCTATAAAGTCCCTCCCACCCTTGGCAACCTTTTCTTTGACTTTCAGCTAAGGCCATCGCTTAAAATTTTTGTGGACGTCCTATTTTGGGGCTATGGCTACCGTGGACAGCCATTTGGGACGGCTCACTTTACCCTCCCTCCTCCCCGATGGCTTCAACTTCAACCACTGGAAGCGGATGGTGATTCTGATATTTCAACTCGACGGCATGGTTTGGTGCCCTTGGTGACTCCACAACCACCTCTTCATCCACCGGTCCTAGTGCTTCTTCAACGGATGATGCGCCGGCCACTCCATCCAACGAGGCTTGTCGGCCCCCCATGTCTGTTTCTCCAACCGAGACTGCTGCCGGGTTGTGGGCTCTTCTTAACAATAAGTTTGTCAAACTGGCAATCAAGCTCAATTTGGTCTGCTGCGTCAACTCCTCTGTCCGCATGGATCCCGGCTAGTCCGTCCGTACTTACTTTGACCACGTTCGTGGCCTCGATCTGCAACTGCAAACCAGCGGATATAGACTTCCCTCTTGGGTGACTATCACCTCTATCCTTCTCTGTCTTCCCCAATCCTATGACACCCTTACCGAGACTCTTTGCTATGTCCAAGAAATCAAAGACATCACACTTGAGTGGCTTGAGGGACGCCTTGTGGATTTTTAGTGGGACCGTGCTGCCAAGTAATCTTCGATCCCGGCTGATGGTGCTTATGTCGCGCAATATGGAACATCCAAACAGAATTTCAACACCTCTGCCCTTTCCTGCCACTATTGCAAGGCTACTGGTCATGCCATCACCAACTGCCCACAACTGGAGAAGAAGAAACGGAGACAGCAGCAGCAGCAACAGCAGCACCCGCGGTAGCAGCAGCCGCACCTGCACCAGCAGCAGCAGCAACCGCACCAACAGCAGCACCAACCATACCAACAGCAGCAGCAGCAGTTCAACTTCTGTTCTCACACATCCAGCACGCCCAACAAGGCATACACGCACTCCCCTCTGCCTTATTCTACCCACTCTGCCCAGCCCATCCTCCCCTCTCCTAGCTCCGACCCTGCTTCCCCAGCACCTGACACTCCTCCCTTGTCCACGGCATTGATGTCTTCTCCACTTGACCCTCGCTATGCTGATGTCGCTACCGCTCACTTACTCCCTGCCTCTTGGCTGCCGTCACTCCCATTCCTTCCCTCGCTCTTTGTGCTCCTCCCCCTCCTCTCCTTTTCTCCATTATGTTTCAACGCCCTCGGCCTCCACCTAGACCGCGACTGCTCTTCCTGCACTCTCCACGCCCACCAGTCCAAAATTATTGTTGCTCTCCTATCCACCTATTCGCTCTCCCTTCCCACCCCTCTTCACCGCCATCTCAAACGTTCCCATATCCCTCCTTGGTTGGCTCTCTCATGTACGCCGTGGTCGCCACTCGTCCTGACATAGCCCACTCCACTGGCCTTCTCTCCCGTCACCTCCACTCATGGTCCGACCCTCATTGGCTGGTTGCCCAAGTGTTCTTCGCTACCTCAAGGGAACACCTTCCCATGGTTTACTGCTTGGTGGCAATGTGTGGTGGCCACGTCCTCCTGTGAGGCTGAATACTATGCTCTTGGTGCGGCAGCCGATGAAGCTCTTTGGCTCCGCACTCTCCTCACCTCCCTTGGACTTCCCCAGCTGGTCCCACCCCTTTGATCTGTGACAACACAAGCGCCATTATCTTGGCCAAGGACGCTGGTGTCTTCTATGCCCGTGCCAAGCACATTGACATCCGACATCATTTCCTCCATGATCACGTTGACAAGGGCCATATCTCACAGCACTATGTCCCTACCTACTCATGACAACCTTGCTGATCTCGGTACCAAGCCTCTTTCCCTTGACACTTTTCAGCGTCTCCGGTCCTGCATTGGCTTGCGCCCTGCCTCTTCTTCCCGAGACTCTTCCTTGGAGTCACCCTAAGGGGGGGGGGGTGTTGTGTTAAATTATTTATTTGAATTATATATAATGGTAGGCTTGGTAGGTGTTACTGGATTCTACTGTAGATGGTACAACCCCCCTTCTTGTATTTCTCTCTATTCTATTCCAAGCACTCTCTTCTCTTGACGTTTCTCTCATTCCTAAACCTCTCGCCATTCCATGGCTTCTCCCCCTAGCTAGCTTATTCGAACATGGTTTCAGAGCAGGTTGCTTTTCCTGAGCCTGCTTATCACGCTTCTTCTGCGCACTCCTCCTCTCTCTCTCGCGCTGCCATGGCGGCCGCGTCATGCTGCTGTGGTGGCGTCGTTGTGCCACCGGCCGCGTCGTGCTGCCGCGGCCGTCTCTATGCGCTGCCGTGGCGTCGCGCTGTTGTGGCATCGACGTCAAGCTGTGGCGGCATCGTCGACATCAAGCCGTGGCGGCGTGACGGCGCCGTCGTGCTGCCGTGGCAACGTGCTGCCAGCGCGCGTACGGCACGGACGGCAGCGGCCAGCGCCCCGTCTTAGCACTGGCCAGCACGCCCGCATGCAGCCAGCGTGCCACACGGGGCGGCATACTCCCGGGCTCCGCTGCTGAAGCCCCGCCCCCTTCCCCTGCGTCCCCTCTTCCTCGCCGCAGCCGACGGCTGACTCGCGCCGGCCGTCCCACCGTCGCGGAGCCCGGCCATGCTGCCGAGTGCTGCAAGCTCCGCCGCCGCCGGCAGCTGTCGTCAAAGCTGCCGCCGCCACAGCTGGTGCCGCTGGCCCACCGCCGCACGCCGCCGCCGCCGCCGCTGTCAACGCTGCCGCCGTCGCCGCCGTTGCAGCCGCTGCCCTCGCTGTTGATGTTGCCGCCTCACGCGCCGAGGGGCTGACCCTGCTGAAGTAGCGGCCGCTGCTGCTGAGTATGGGGGTGCTAGGCTTAGGGGGTGTGTGGCTTAGTGTGCTATGTGTGTGGTGGGCTTTCAGCTACCAAGCCTAGGGGGTGTGTTAAATTATATATTTGAATTATATATAATGGTAGGCTTGGTAGGTGTTACTGGATTTTGCTATAGAGGGTACAACCCCCCTTCTTGTATCCCTCTCTTTTCTCTTCCAACCTCTCTTCTCTCGACATTTCTCTCCTTCCTAAACCTCTCGCCATTCCATGGCTTCTCCCCCTAGCTAGCGTATTCTAACAGTCCCCACCTTGACTGTGGACAACTTGAGCACCCATTTGGGCACCCCAAGCAGGCCCTCAGATTCGTTTTAGGCCACGCTGATTTATCGGTGTCGATCTAGAAAAACACCCTGAAAATCAGTTTTTGGTATTGGTTTTCTTACTGGTTGACCCTGGTTCTTTTGTTTTCAAGGCTGATTCATCAGGGTCGGTACAAGAGAACACCCTGAAAAAAAACAAAATCAGCGTATAAAGCCTGATAACTATGGGCCTGACCCCAAGTCTCTTGGGTGCCATCTCCTCACCTGGACCAGCCCAAGTCGCTCAGCACGTCTCCATCTCTCCCTTCTTCACAATCTAGGCCTACTTAGCCTAATGTCTTTGTCATCTCTATTCACTACTTTCTCTTACACTTTCTAGGGCTCCTCTTGGAACCTATCTTTACCATCTCCACCTTGTGCATCGTACAGCTATGCACATTGAGCCTACTCTTCTACATGCTCCATCAGAAAGAACGTGTCTGGGGGTATGGGGGGAAGACATGGGGAAAAAGGCACGGGAAAAGAAACATGGGGGGGGATTGGGAGGGGCATGGGAAAAACGGCTTGGGGGAAAACGGATGGGTGAGAAGGCATGGGCGGAAAGGCATGGGGGGAAAGGCATGGAGGGAAAGGCATGGTGAGAAGGCATATGGGGGGAAAGGGCATGGGGATGTGGGGGGAGGCACGGGGGAAAGGCGTGAGGGGAAAGGCATGGGGGGAAAGGCATGAGGGGCAAGGTACGGTGGGAAAGCATGTAAAAGAAGGCATGAGAGGGAAGGCATAGGGGGGAAGCATGGGAAAGCAAGAGCTCCTGACAGGGGAAAGCGGCTCTGTTACCTCAAGTTTGCAATAAAGTCATCTTTTAGAATTCTCAAACCCAACATCATCCCACCCACTCCCTCACTCTCCTCTCATATTCTCCCTCCCCTTTCTCTCCCCCCCACTCCCTCTACCTGGTCAGGCATGTCCGCCTCAACCACCCATCCCCCCCACCACCCATCTCCCCCCCTTCCCCCACCTTTTCCTCCCCAATCTGCATACCGCGCAGCTGCAGAGTCTCCACTTCCCTCGGCATGCTGTGCAAGACGTGGAAGCCAAACGGCTTTCTGGCCGGTCCTTGCTCGAGTCAGGCCACTTGCACATGGCGTTGGCGATGAACAGGCATAACGCCATGGCGTCCAGCTGCTCCTGCGAGCTGTCACCATGGTGTCAACGTCGAGCGAGAGGTGACAGGCAAGAGCTCCGAGGTTGCAATGATCATTACCGCCAGCTGCTTCTGCTGGTGGCAGTGGTGGTGGTGCTGCTGCTGCTGCTGCTGATGCTGCTGCTGCTGCTGCTGCTGCTGGGTGTGGTGGTGGCGCTGCCGCTGGTGCTGGTATTCCTGGAGCTGAAACTCTTGCTGCTGCTGCTGCCGCCGCTGCTACACCGTGAACCTCGGTCGCCTCTGAATCATTAACATAGACTGCTGCTCCAGCAATCTCCGTCTGACAAGCTCCCACATTACTATCATCAGTTGCCCTGGCGCCAAATCCGAGGTTCCGGAGTCTTCCTGCCAGAGAGCCGTTATCCATAGCCATCCATCCGCTGGTGTCTCCTCGCTGCCCGCTCGGCCCAAAGCCAGTGGCAAGAAAAGGCCTGCTGTCCGCAGGACTCGGCAAATCCCCATACAAAGAGCCGTTATCCACCACCATCCATACACTGCCATCGCCTGGCTGTAATCCATTCCGCGCAAAGCAGGACTCCGCCTGCTTCTGCAAACCAGGTCCCAGGTTCTCGGGACGTCCCGCCATTCTCTCGTTTCACCCGACGAAACACAGCTTTCTCCCCGTCTCCACGCTGCTCAGCTAGAGGTCGTCGCAGCACGATAGAGTCTCAGGCGCGGCTAATCGCTTTAGAGACACAGCAATAGGTAACGGCTAAAGCTGGTGGTTTCTGGCTGCCGCCGGGCGACCGTAGTCTGACTGGCCCCCATTTCCCCATTTTCCCATTTCGCCATTTCTCCTGTTATTTTCAGGGTTAACCATGGTGGAAAAAGCCTTGCGAGGCAGCGGTTATGAAAAAGCTCGAGCTGAAGGGATGTTCAGGAAGTTTTGATGGGAAAACCAGTGATGAACTAGTTTCGGCTTATACAAGCCTTCATCAGCATCTACCGAACATTGGAGCATTCGAGCTGTCTAAATAGTGAGAGTGCGACCCGAGCAAAACTCGAGGGTCCACACCATCCCCGAGAAGGGGTCACTGTAGCCAAGCAAAAAACTAGATAAGTGTAACAATTTTGAAACTCTAAACTAGCATTTCCTTGCTGCGACTATAAAATCCTTGATCTTTTTTTGCAGCTTCCATGCAATCAATGCACGTCGGCCGGAGAATAAAACCGTGTGTCAGCTTGTCCAGTTGTATTTTGAGTCGACTCAAAATGTCATTCCGCCATTTCGCCATTTCCCGATTTCACCATTTCTCCTGTTATTTTCAATTCGTCGTTTTCCCCTGCCGCCATGCCGTCAAGCAGCACGAGGCCATGCTCCACCGCTCCCCTGCTTGCGTAGGGGTCGAAGTTCCCCAGCGATGCATGCGCACGACGGGGAATGGAGCATCTGGCGAGGAAAAACGAAAAGTACGGTGGAGGTGGCGACGGATGTGTGCATTGGGATCTGGTGGGCCATGGAAGGAGCTGACGGGGAGATGCGTGCGTTATCAAACGGAAAGAATTAACAGAATTAGAATTGAATAATGAGAGAGAGAGTACACAAACATATACCTAAATGTTGTACTCTCTAGAAGGTGACCCTATATGTTAGGATTAAGGACGGAGTCTAGGTGAACTTAGGAGCTAGAATTACTCAAAATATAAATCCGAAATTCTGGACAGAAAAGTCGTCTTTACAAGAAACGACGTCGACGAAAAACTAGCCGTTGGAATGTCGCGAAACTTGGATATGTTGTAGCTCTTAATCTCAGCTACCGTTCCCAATTTGAATCACGTTGATTGATGAAGTATTCGCGACGCTATGGCTTTTCGACGCATTAGGGGGTAAGCTGTAGGAGGAGAACTTAACTCAATCTCAAAGGTTCAATCAAAGTTCAAGAATCTCACAAGGAATTAGAAGGAGCAAGAGAAAGGTTGGGATAGGAAGAGAGGGATGAGAGGGAAGGTCCCAAGAGAGTCCCCAACCAAGGAAACCCCATAAGCACAAAGATTCCCTCCCTATAGGAACCCCAACTTTGACATTTGTCCCTTCCCAACCAATCCATCCAAGTTGGCCACCCTTGCCAACCTAGCTTGGTTGTTCCCAACCAATTTGCAGCTGTTACAGTAGAGTGACAAGTTTCCCCAACCCCAAAGGTCCCAACTCCATATAAAGTCACCCCACAACTTCACTTAGTAACCGCCGCAATTGTAACGCAAGCTCATGAACTTTGAATCTTCATAGCTTTCGCGTTCTTGCTCCGATTGAAGCGATTCTTGTTGCGTCGGAAAGATCTTCTCAAGATCTATTATCACAAATACCTGCTCAGACAGAATAACACAAAACACATTCCCAAACTCCAGAACACACCACACACAAATGCTTGCACATTCAAACCACACATGCAAGTTGAAAAAACATGGGATGGGAGGCAGACAGAATGTGATAGCATATGATGACATCACACAAACAATCTCCCCCTCTGGCTGCCAAACCATCATCGACCATTACCACATCTCAAGCATGCATACTCAATGCACACTCATCCCAGCAAGCTTCATGTACACCTCCTCCATAATGATCCCATTCAGAAAGGCAGTCACAATATCCATATGCCGAATCTTCCATCCCAGGAGTGCAGCTATCGCCAACAGCACCCTCAGTGTTGTTCCTTTCCCCACAGGAGCAAACACCTCATCATAGTCCTTCCCCTTTGTCTGCTGAAACCCCCGTGCCACAAGCCTAGACTTGTAGCGGGTCAGCTCCCCTTCAGGTCCATACTTGTGCCTGTAGATCATCTTGGAAGTGATTGCCTTCTTTCCAGGAGGCAAGTCACACAGGTCCCATGTCTCGTTCTCAATTAGGGACCCGAACTCCTCATCCTCACTCGCCTTCCACTTCTCCCCATTTGGTCCATTCAAGGCCTCTTCTCGAGTCTTGGGCTCAGGGATTGGTGCCCAGTAGCAGTGAGCGATCTCATCTTCCTCAATCTGCTCAACCACACTCCCAGCCTGCACCACATTCGGCTTGCCTCTTCCCCATAGGTCAGCCTCACTGGAGGGCGCACATCCCTCCTAGGACGCTCAGGCGGGTGTGGAACTCGAGGTGGAGACTCATGCTGCTGCTGCTGCTGCTGCTCTACTTCAGCTGCTCCCCCTTCCTCAGTCACCCCAGACATCTCCTCCTCTGACACTGCAACCTCCACCTGTCTTGAAGGCTGCTGCACCTCATCTGCCTCCACAATGAGCGGTGTAGATGGAAGCTTCTGTTGCTGCTGCTTCCATTCCTTGTAGTACAGGGACTCAAGAAACTTCACATCCCTTGACACTGTCAACTTCTGGGTGGTCAAGTCCCATAGCAGCCACCCCTTGTGATCCTTTGCAATCCCCAAGTGCACACCCCATCTTCCAGAAGCCTCCAACTTCCCCCTTTTCTCCTTAGGCACATGAAACACCACCATGCACCCAAATGCCCTCAGCATGTTCACAGCTGGAGCACTCCCATACCACTTGACGTATGGGATCCACTCCTTATCTCCAACTGTAGCCAGCACCCTGTTCTTCACAAGGGCGACCTGCCTCAGTGCAGACACCCAAAACGGATCAGGCAGCCCTGCACGCCCAAGGAGAGTGCGTGCCCCCTCCTGCAGGGTCCTGTTGAACCTCTCAGCCACGCCATTCTGCTGTGGGTTGTAGGGCACTGTCAGTTGATGCTGGATCCCCTTCCTCTTCAACTCCCCCTCAAAATCAGCTCCAATGAACTCCCCACCATTGTCACTACGGATCACCTTCACCTTGTGTCCGCATTCCCTCTGAGCTCTCGGCATCCACTCCTTAAGGACAGCCGCTGCCACCTCCCCCTTGCTCTTCAAAGGGTAAACCCACACTGCCCAAGTGTGGTCATCCACAATTGTCAAGAAATAGCGGCTGCCTGAGAGGGAAGGGGCTCTTGTGGGCCCCACCACATCCATGTGCACAAGTGCAAGTGGGGTCTTGGATGGTCCAGTTGCACTGTTGAAGGGGAACTTGGAGAACTTGGTCTCCAAGCATGTAGGGCAGCTCCCAATCTCCTTCACTTCCCCTTTCACCTCCAAGCCCTTCAGGCTCCCATTCTTCACCAACTTCTGCAGCATAGGGAAGTTCACATGACACAACCTCTCATGCCATGTCTCCCAATCGGCCTCTCCACTCCTTGATGAAGCCTTAGCCCATGCCGCACTCGCATCCACACCAGCAAGCACCTCACCATGTGTCTGCTGCTTCTGCACTTTCTTGACTGCTTCCAGCACCCCATCAGTTGGTGCAGTTGCATCTCCTCCTGCTGTTGCCTTTGCCACTGCTGCCGTTGCTGCTGTTGGAGTCTTCCCATTCCAAGGGATGATGGGCAGCTGCCACAGGTCCTTGATGCAGCTGGTCTCCTCTTCCAGACTCCACAGCACCTTCTTCCCAAGCTTAGCACGGCAGCTGGTTGGTCCAAAGGTCACTTCGGCCTTACTCTTCTGCAGCGCCGCACAGAGAGAAGGTTAGCAGACAAGCCTTTAACCAGCAGAACATTCCCAAGCCCCACAAGCTCCCCATTAGCTCCCTTAACCTTGGCATTCCCAACACCAATCACGGGGAGCAAAGCACCTGACGCTGCTGCCACATACTTAATCTTCCCAGGGGGTTTTACCTCATCAAGCAAATCTGCCCGTGGGGTCATGTGACTGGTGCAACCCGAATCAATCACCCAGTGCGTGAGAGGGTGCATCACAACCTTTCCCACAGATCCCACATCACCCTCATGCCCATGCACATCCTCAACCATAAGAAACAAACCAGGATAGGCATTACCTTGTGCACCTTCACCTTGTGCACCTGAGCCTTGCACAGCGCCACCTTGTGCGCGTTCACCACTGGGTGGCTTCATGCCTGGAGGTGCCCATCCCTCCGGCCTGCTGAAGCACTTGAACCAAGGATGCCCTATCTTCTTGCAGTACCAGCAGGTGCCCTCCATTCTGGTACTCCCCCTGCCACTAGAGCTCCCATGCCCCTCATTATAGTCACCTCGGCCTCTACCTCTGCCAAAGCTCCTCCCACGGCCTCGGCCTCTCCAACCCCCTCTTCCTCTGCCGCGCCCTGCAGCTCCATACCCCTCAGCAGTCTTAGTGGCAGCACCGCCTCCCACATGGCGTCTGCGGAAGTCCTCCTGCAGAATCTGCTGCCTTAGCCACTCAGGTGTCCATTGATCTTGCTGAGAGTTGAGGGTGGGGATGAGGTTGTCCCAAGAGTTGTCCAACACCGAGATGATCTTGGTGCACTGCTGCAGCTGAGATACACTGCTGCCCGCTGCTGCCATCCTTGCATAGGTGTCCTTGATCTTGTCAAGGACCGGCTTCACATCGTCCCCTGGTCGCATGGAGATGGCAGCAAGTTCCTTCTCGAGCACGATCACCATCAGGAGAGTGTTGGGCTGAACCACATCACGTAGTAGTTTCCACGCCCTTGGACCCGAATCATCCGCTTCCACAAGATCCTTGATGTGCTCGAACATCTCCTTGTTGACCGATTGAAGAATGAGGTCGAAAAGCACCGCGCTTTTCTCAATCCACCGTTCACGTGCTTCGCCTTCTTCCGGCATCTTCTCTTCCCCAACAGCAATCTTCAGTAGCTTGTAGCGTTTGAAGGCACTCCTCATCCGTCCGCTCCATTCCTCATAGTTGGAGCCATCCAAAGCTTCAACTTTTGATGGCGGCGGCTCACTTGTCTTCTCAGCTACAGCTCCTCTTCCATTAGCATCTCCTCCTCTCTCATTCATCTTCTCCTTGAGAAATGACGAATTTCAGCTCCCCTTTGCTGTCCACACTCAGCTCCCTCGATATTTTCACAAGTGTCGGCGTCCACGAAATTTCGGCAGAGTTTCCCCTTAGCGGAAGACACATCCAACCTTTAGAACACCACTTAGGCACACCCACAGGCCATGGTGGGTCTAGAAGGGTCTTCACACTTCTGTAGACTCCTCTCAATGTCCTTAATATGCTCTGATACCACTTGTTAGGATTAAGGACGGAGTCTAGGTGAACTTAGGAGCTAGAATTACTCAAAATATAAATCCGAAATTCTGGACAGAAAAGTCGTCTTTACAAGAAACGACGTCGACAAAACACTAGCCGTTGGAATGTCGCGAAACTTGGATATGTTGTAGCTCTTGATCTCAGCTACCGTTCCCAATTTGAATCACGTTGATTGATGAAGTATTCGCGACGCTATGGCTTTCGACGCACTAGGGGGTAAGCTGTAGGAGGAGAACTTAACTCAATCTCAAAGGTTCAATCAAAGTTCAAGAATCTCACAAGGAATTAGAAGGAGCAAGAGAAAGGTTGGGATAGGAAGAGAGGGATGAGAGGGAAGGTCCCAAGAGAGTCCCCAACCAAGGAAACCCCATAAGCACAAAGATTCCCTCCCTATAGGAACCCCAACTTTGACATTTGTCCCTTCCCAACCAATCCATCCAAGTTGGCCACCCTTGCCAACCTAGCTTGGTTGTTCCCAACCAATTTGCAGCTGTTACAGTAGAGTGACAAGTTTCCCCAACCCCAAAGGTCCCAACTCCATATAAAGTCACCCCACAACTTCACTTAGTAACCGCCGCAATTGTAACGCAAGCTCATGAACTTTGAATCTTCATAGCTTTCGCGTTCTTGCTCCGATTGAAGCGATTCTTGTTGCGTCGGAAAGATCTTCTCAAGATCTATTATCACAAATACCTGCTCAGACAGAATAACACAAAACACATTCCCAAACTCCAGAACACACCACACACAAATGCTTGCACATTCAAACCACACATGCAAGTTGAAAAAACATGGGATGGGAGGCAGACAGAATGTGATAGCATATGATGACATCACACAACAGCTTCGCTTAGCTTCGCTTCGCTTCGCTTCCCTTAGCTTCGCTTAGCTTCGCTTCGCTTCGCTTCCCTTAGCTTCCCTTAGCTTCGCTTCGCTTCGCTTCGCTTCGCTTCGCTTCGCTTCGCTTCGCTTCGCTTCGATTAGCTTCGCTTAGCTTCCTGTTTGCTTCGCTTCGCTTAGCTTCTTGTTCGCTTCGCTTAGCCTTGCTTCGCTTAGCTTCGCTAAGCTTCGCTTCGCTTCGCTTACCTTCGCTTTGCTTTGCTTACCTTCCCTTCGCTTCGCTTAGCTTCGATTCGCTTCGCTTAGCTTCGCTTTGCTTCGCTTAGCTTCTCTTAGATTCGCTTCACTTCTCTTAGCTTCGCATAGCTTCGCTTACCTTTGCTTCGCTTCTCTTCGCTTCGCTTCCCTTAGCTTCGCTTAGCTTCGCCTTGCTTCGCTTAGCTTCGCTTCGCTTCTCTTAGCTTCGCTTTGCTTCTCTTCGCTTCTCTTCGCTTCGCTTCGCTTCGCTTTGCTTTGCTTAGCTTCGCTTAGCCTCGCTTCGCTTAGCTTTGCTTCGCTTCGCTTTGCTTAGCTTAGCTTCGCTTAGCTTAGCTTAGCTTCGCTTAACTTTGCTTTGCTTCGCTTAGCTTCGCTTTGCTTAGCTTCGCTTCGCTTCGCTTAGCTTCGCTTCGTTTCGCTTAGCTTCGCTTCGCTTGGCTTGGCTTGGCTTCGCTTCGCTTAGCTTTGCTTCGCTTCGCTTCCCTTACCTTTGGTTCACATCCCGTAGCTTCGCTTCGCTTCGCTGAGCTTCGCTTCGCTTCGCTTCGCTTCGCATAACTTTGCTTAGCTTCGCTTCGATTCCCTTAGCTTCGCTTAGCTTCGCCTCGCTTTGCTTAGCTTCGCTTCGCTTCTTTTAGCTTCGCTTAGCTTCGCTTAGCTTCGCTTCGCTTCTCTTGGCTTCTTTGAGCTTCGCTTAGCTTCGTGTTCGCTTCGCTTAGCTTCTCTTCACTTTGCTTCGCTTAGCTTCTCTTCGCTTCGCTTAGCTTCATGTTCGCTTCACATATCTTTGCTTCGATTAGCTTCGCTTCGCTTCGCTTAGCTTCCTGTTCGCTTCGCTTAGCCTCGCTTTGCTTAGCTTCGCTTCGCTTCGCATACCTTCACTTTGCTTCGCTTAGCTTCGCTTAGCTTCTCTTAGCTTCGCTTCGCATTGCTTAGCTTCGACTAGCTTTGCTAAGCTTTGCTTCGCTTCGCTTTGCTAAGCTTTGCTTCGTTTCACTTTGCTTCGCTTCGCTTCGCTTAGCTTCGCTTAGCTTCGCTTAGCTGCGCTTAGCTTCGCTTAGCTTTGCTTAGCTTTGCTTCGCTTCGCTTAGCTTTACGTAGCTTCGCTTCGCTTAGCTTCGCTTAGATTTGCTTAGATTCGCTTCGCTTCGCTTCGCTTCACTTCGCTTCGCTTCGCTTCGCTTCGCTTAGCTTCGCCTAGCTTCACTTCGCTTCGCTTAGCTTCGCTTCGCTTTCCTTAGCTTCGGTTCGCTTCCCTTAGCTTCGCTTTGCTTCACTTCGCTTCACTTCGCTTCGCTTAGCTTTGCTTCGCTTCGCATACCTGCGCTCAGCTTCGCTTTGCTTCTCTTAGCTTCGCTTCTTTTCGCTTCGCTCTCTATGCTTCTCGTCGCTTAGCTTCCCTTCACTTTTCTTCGCTTCTCTTCGCTTCGCTTCGCCTAGCTTCGCTTAGCTTCGCTTAGCTTCGCTTCGCTTTGCTTAGCTTCGCTTCGCTTCGATTAGCTTCGCTTAGCTTCGCTTCCCTTAGCTTCACTTTGCTTAGCTTCGCTTCATGTTCGCTTCACATATCTTCGCTTCGATTAGCTTCGCTTCGCTTCGCTTAGCTTTCTGTTCGCTTCGCTTAGCCTCGCTTTGCTTAGCTTCGCTTCGCTTCGCATAGCTTCACTTTGCTTTGCTTAGCTTCGCTTAGCTTCTCTTAGCTTCGCTTCGCATTGCTTAGCTTCGACTAGCTTTGCTAAGCTTTGCTTTGCTTCCCTTTGCTAAGCTTTGCTTCGTTTCACTTTGCTTCGCTTCGCTTCGCTTAGCTTCGCTTAGCTTCGCTTAGCTGCGCTTAGCTTCGCTTAGTTTTGCTTAGCTTCGCTTCGCTTCGCTTAGCTGTGCTTAGCTTTGCCTAGCTTCGCTAAGCTTCGCTTAGCTTTGCTTAGCTTTGCTTCGCTTCGCTTAGCTTTACTTAGCTTCGCTTCGCTTAGCTTCGCTTAGATTTGCTTAGCTTCGCTTAGATTTGCTTCGCTTCGCTTCGCTTCGCTTCGCTTCGCATACCTGCGCTCAGCTTTGCTTTGCTTCTCTTAGCTTCGCTTCTTTTCGCTTCGCTCTCTATGCTTCTCGTCGCTTAGCTTCCCTTCACTTTTCTTCGCTTCTCTTCGCTTCGCTTCGCCTAGCTTCGCTTAGCTTCGCTTAGCTTCGCTTCGCTTTGCTTAGCTTCGCTTCGCTTCGATTAGCTTCGCTTAGCTTCGCTTCCCTTAGCTTCACTTTGCTTAGCTTTGCTTCGCTTTGCTTCCCTTAGCTTCCCTTCGCTTCGCTTCGCTTCGCTTCGCTTCGATTAGCTTCGCTTAGCTTCCTGTTTGCTTCGCTTCGCTTAGCTTCTTGTTCGCTTCGCTTAGCCTTGCTAAGCTTAGCTTCGCTTCGCTTACCTTCCCTTTGCTTTGCTTACCTTCCCTTCGCTTCGCTTAGCTTCGATTCGCTTCGCTTAGCTTCGCTTAGCTTCTCTTAGATTCGCTTCACTTCTCTTAGCTTTGCATAGCTTCGCTTACCTTTGCTTCGCTTCTCTTCGCTTCGCTTCCCTTAGCTTCGCTTAGCTTCGCCTTGCTTCGCTTAGCTTCGCTTCGCTTCTCTTAGCTTCGCTTCGCTTCTCTTCGCTTCTCTTCGCTTCGCTTCGCTTCGCTTCGCTTTGCTTTGCTTAGCTTCGCTTAGCTTCGCTTCGCTTCGCTTTGCTTCGCTTCGCTTTGCTTAGCTTAGCTTCGCTTAGCTTAGCTTAGCTTCGCTTAACTTTGCTTTGCTTCGCTTAGCTTAGCTTCGCTTAGCTTCGCTTCGTTTCGCTTAGCTTCGCTTCGCTTGGCTTGGCTTGGCTTCGCTTCGCTTAGCTTTGCTTCGCTTCGCTTCCCTTAGCTTTGGTTCACATCCCGTAGCTTCGCTGAGCTTCGCTTCGCTTCGCATAACTTTGCTTAGCTTCGCTTCGATTCCCTTAGCTTCGCTTAGCTTCGCCTCGCTTTGCTTAGCTTCGCTTCGCTTCTTTTAGCTTCGCTTAGCTTCGCTTAGCTTCGCTTCGCTTCTCTTGGCTTCTTTGAGCTTCGCTTAGCTTCGTGTTCGCTTCGCTTAGCTTCGCTTCGATTAGCTTCGCTTAGCTTCGTGTTCGCTTCGCTTAGCTTCTCTTCACTTCGCTTCGCTTAGCTTCTCTTCGCTTCGCTTAGCTTCTCTTCGCTTCGCTTAGCTTCATGTTCGCTTCACATATCTTCGCTTCGATTAGCTTCGCTTCGCTTCGCTTAGCTTCCTGTTCGCTTCGCTTAGCCTCGCTTTGCTTAGCTTCGCTTCGCTTCGCATACCTTCACTTTGCTTTGCTTAGCTTCGCTTAGCTTCTCTTAGCTTCGCTTCGCATTGCTTAGCTTCGACTAGCTTTGCTAAGCTTTGCTTCGCTTCGCTTTGCTAAGCTTTGCTTCGTTTCACTTTGCTTCGCTTCGCTTCGCTTAGCTTCGCTTAGCTTCGCTTAGCTGCGCTTAGCTTCGCTTAGCTTTGCTTAGCTTCGCTTCGCTTCGCTTAGCTGTGCTTAGCTTTGCCTAGCTTCGCTTCGCTTCGCTAAGCTTCGCTTAGCTTTGCTTAGCTTTGCTTCGCTTCGCTTAGCTTTACTTAGCTTCGCTTCGCTTAGCTTCGCTTAGATTTGCTTAGCTTCGCTTCGCTTCGCTTCGCTTCGCTTCGCTTAGCTTCGCCTAGCTTCACTTCGCTTCGCTTAGCTTCGCTTCGCTTTCCTTAGCTTCGGTTCGCTTCCCTTAGCTTCGCTTCGCTTCACTTCGCTTCGCTTCGCTTCGCTTAGCTTCGCTTCGCTTCGCATACCTGCGCTCAGCTTCGCTTTGCTTCTCTTAGCTTCGATTCTTTTCGCTTCGCTCTCTATGCTTCTCGTCGCTTAGCTTCCCTTCACTTTTCTTCGCTTCTCTTCGCTTTGCTTCGCCTAGCTTCGCTTAGCTTCGCTTCGCTTTGCTTAGCTTCGCTTCGCTTCGATTAGCTTCGCTTAGCTTCTTGTTCGCTTCGCTTCGAATAACTTCGCTTCGCTTCGCTTCGCTTCGCTTCGCTTCGCTTAGCTTCGTGTTCGCTTCGCTTAGCTTCTCTTCACTTCGATTCGCTAAGCTTCCCTTAGCTTCATGTTCGCTTCGCT